TTCCACTGCTTTTACTTTCTTGCTTATTTCGTTATTGTGATGTTTACTCCTCATCTCCCCAACATATGCATGTTAGAATTTGTGGGACATACATGAGCCAAGTTCGTCAATCTCCAAATAAGATGGTAAATCATGTGATCTAAAAGATTGGTATCAAATATCAATGGCAAATAGACATCAAGCATCAATCATTAGTAGGCATCAAACATGTGGACATTGAAAGTTGGGTGGCGGAAGGAAGTTGACTTGATCATTATTTTTTTATGAGGGAAGACCATGTTAGTAAAAAGATAGGTATACAATGTTGGATAATTGCGACAGTGAGCCTAAATGTTAGTCAATGATCAAAGTCGAGCAGTGACAAATGTATGTGTCTGTCAAATGATGACAATGGTACACATTGATGCTGCTTAATGACTAGCATCAATGTCGATCAACATAAAGGGATGGGTAAAGCTCTAGAATTCCTTATGAATCATATATTCTTTATGCTGAAAACCCCTCCTAAATGTGAATGACATTATGCATATTTATAGATTTTTAGATGAAGTGTTTCAATCATTTTTTTATCAAAATTTTGTGCAATTCATCAAATGGTCTGAAATGATTAACCCTAATCTTTTATCTATTTTATTTTATTTTTGAAATTATCATAACTCAAAATTCAATTATCTAGGGCTCATTTTGGATGACTTTTTTAGAATTGATTCTAAGTAACACAAGGTTTTGGAATAACTCATACTTGCCATTACAAATTTCTCAATTATATTTTTGTAGTATTTGATTTAGCCTATTTGGGCTCTAAGATATATGTTATTTGTGTCATTGGATTGGTCTCATTAAACAACATTACCATTTGTCCAATTGTCATATATTATAATTAGTTTTAACATACATCATATTAAAATTATGTGCATAGCATCCCTATTCAACAAATTTGCAACATTCTTATGTATTCAAAGCCGCTTAAATTTTGGCATTTAGAATTCTCTAACAAGGATTTGTAATTGTTGAGATTTATCCTGAGCAACTTTGTAACTCTCAGAGCCCTCCTGAGAGCTTTTTCTAGTTGAAGTTCTCAATCCTTAATATTCAAATTATCATTTTTTTTTGCTATCGCATGTAAGGCTATGATGAATTCTTATACTGAGAAAAAAAATTCAATAATTAAGCTATTGTTAGCTCAACTTGCCCCGACCATGTTTTTGTAGTCAATTTATCTTGCTATGCGTAAATCTAAGATGCCTTCTAGTACTTAAAGAAAATTAAATGACTACATTGCCCCAAAGCCTACCTTATCGACCTAGCCTAATCACGACATGCTCAAACGACAAACGCCAATTATCCCATAGAGGCCACGAATGATAATATCTTCATCAATGAATAAAAAATATCATCACGAAGCCCTCGACGCCACAAGCATGTCTTATAAGTGCACAAAATTTGAAAAAAAAATATTAGGTCTCTCACATAATTTTTTTAAAAAAATTAATTATATTCTAAGCTTGCATTTTAAGGTCATTTGCACTCATATTTAAATGATTTTAGTATCATTGAGATCATCTCATAAAACATCATCTTCATCGTAATGAAATATTCCCATTTAATTTATATTATTTTTAATAAAAATTAACACACCAAAAACTTTACAAATACAAATAAACCAACGAGAAATTACTTTGTGCAGGAGGCAAATCAGGTGCAGCCACGTCAGCGATACCGAGCCGCGGTACTGAGCAAAGGGGTGACATGGCGCATTCTAATTGGTCTTCGGATGGGTCCGCACTAAATAATTAATCTAAACCCACACGTTTGATTAAAAGAAAAAAAAAAGCATATTTTACCCAATACTTCCCATGCACGATACATCACATATATGAGAGTGATCTGTACTCTTCGTTTAAATACATTATAAAACCGTTACACAAAATTCTATCATTTTTATTTCTTTATCTGTCGCCTTCTCAAATCTGTTATGTCAATATTCATTTATATATACATATTTTTATATGACTTGAAATAGGAGTTACTATGATGTTTCCTTTCTCATGGAGACATGTCAAGCTTACGTAGGTTGCAAGATCTTTCTCAAAGGCCTCTCCACATTTATAAAAACACCCCTCCAAAATTTTCATATTAGACATTCAAGCACCTTTGTGGACTCCAATGCTTCTTCTCATGGACCACAGCAAGATTTTCTTTATGATGGGCCCATGATAATGGGCCCATTATCGATTAAAATAAAGAATGAGATGCTGTGGAACACTTTTATAGTAGAGTGAGCCGGCTGCTCAACTTACTCAGAATTCTATATTTTTTTTTCTTTCCTGGTCACAAGTTAACTTCTGTGAAACCTAACGTTAAGGAGCATATATTTATGAGGCTGCTATATATTAGTTGATTTCTTAACCTTTACTCATTAATTATGACTTTGTTTTTTTTAATTGAAGGGTCCAAATTTGTTCAATACCAATTTGTTATCACAAGCTATTACATGAATATGTACTTTTTTTCATCAATATTACACTAAGAGAAATTTTATTTTTAGACAAGTAGGTGGAAATGATTGGAGTTACTTTTTTTTTTTAATAAGTTCAAGTTTTAAATGACTTGTTATTTTGAAGAACTAAGCTTCATAAAATTGGAAATGAGGATTTTGATGCTAATTTACTTTTTATTTGCACATTTATTAGCAATTAAATATCTTAAAGTCTGTTTGGGATTGTTTACTCATTGTTCATCTTTTCAAGCTGCAATCACATTTCTATTTGGCTACTACTTTATTTTTGTTTTCTAAAAATTTATATTTTCATAAGCTACTTTTTTATAATCTGAGTTATCAATATATAATAGCTTTGAGAAAGCAACTGTTTGATTTAAAAAATGAACATATTTATAATATTCATAGTAACTTTCACTGCAGGAAAATCGTCTATTACCGACAAATTTTTCTGTAGTGTTTAAATAAGTTGGTTTTTTTCTTGATAACTTTTTACAATCATCTTTATAAAATGATGCAGCTATTTGCCTCAAATAGACCCTTAAATAACCACTAAATTTTAGTTTTGAAAATTTTAACATATATTGATCATTGAAACCAATTTCAATTTATTTTTCAAAACTTGTGGCCAGACAAATAGATCTAAATATATATTAAGGCTTTGTTTGGGGCGGCTTTTTTGCTGCTTCTTAAAGCAGCTTTCTAATGTAAAAATTAAATTTTTTTACTAAAAAGCTACTTTATGAAGCAATAAGAAAATCGTCCCAAATAAAGTCTAAGATAAAACAAATAATGTTTGGCTTAAGCTGGTTATGCTAAGCTTTCACAAGTGTACATTTATCCACTCATTGTTTGTACTAGCAAGGATCATAGATCATAATGCAATGATATATTTATGTACTATTAGACTAATTAGCATTTTGAATGGAAGGAATGAAAGAAGAATTCTGAAGAATTGAATGAGCTACTAATACAAATGAAAAAACAGCACAGTTGAAGTAATGAGTGATAGAGACTCCACATTGGGCCACCAAATAGAGTGGTTTCTAAGGTCTCTCACATTGCTCTTTCAGGACTCTGAGCAACCAATCCCCACAGCTTTCTTTAATTCTAGCTAATTGCATGCCACATCATCTCTCTTTTATGAAGATATGTTGGTTTCATTTAAAGAGTAATCTTTTGAAAGCTTTTTAAAAAAATCAGTATCTATTCACAGTGAATACATAGAAGTCAGTAGAAAGTCTCTTATTTTCTTATATGTCAGCATTACTTATTGTTTAGATCTAGACAAAAATAATAGAATTTTTCTCATTTTTTTTTATGACTAATGATATTGGGAAGTAGACTAGATGTGTTCATCACTGAGATGAAACAACAACAACAAGAAGTCTTTATCTCACTATGCAGGGTCGGCTACATGAATCATTTATCTCCATTGTGTTCTGTTAAGGGTCAAATTCTCATCTAAATCTAATAAAAAAATGTCATTACTAATATTTTCTAACAAAGTCTTTTTAGGTCTACCTCTACTTTTCTTAATATAAGTCAAATTTAATGCATCTACTTTCCTAACACTCCCATTGTCATGTCTCAAGTCCTGGATGACAAAAAGTGGTGGGTTGCGTTAGGTAATTGACAGCCAACGTAAAACTTGTGGAATGATCATGACATGAATCATTTAATACATCGTGTTAATGCTAGGACATTCCATGAAAGCAACTCGTTGTATGGCCTGAATACAACGACTGAAGTAGAATAGAAAAAGTATTAACATATAAAATACATCAAAAATTTATTCAAATTCACTCGAGTGATTGATGGCTACGTCATCCTATTATTGCCGTTATAAATTTCAAACTGATATTGGAGTTTTGTATCCTAAATCTAAATTCTAATCTCTCAAGCATATCACCTAAATTTGATACCCTACTTTCATAAAGAACAAACTAGAGCTCAAAAAGAAAAAAAGAAATATTCAAAATACCCTTAATAAATTAACTCATAACTACTAGACATCTTTTGGGGGCTCTATCCCCCTTTTCAAACCCCCACAATAATCTTATCGTGAAATTCTAACTTCTCATTAAAGTTTCGTTTTCAACAGCTTTTTTTATTGATTTCTAAAACTATTTTTTAGTATAAAAAATTTTAATTAAAAAAATTTTACACTAAAAAATCATTTTCAACAGCAGTAAGAAAACGGTCTCAAACAAAACCTAAAACTTGACCAGACATTTTTTCTCATAGGACATCTAGTCCACAACTTGGAATTTTGGCCCACCCCCTTATTATTGACCGTAGACAGAGACAGAGAGTATCTAATTGGCATCAAGTGCTACATCAGTCTACAAAGCTATCTGCTGCCAAATGAACTAACATCAAATTGAAAGTATTATTGCAGAAAAAAAAAAAAGTGATCGATCGATGCATACCGACGCATCGCATTTGTCGGTGATATGCAACTCATATATTCACATTAGTATTTTATTCCACACGGGTAGCTGTACTGTTTTCTGCATGTGTAATTAGAAGATGAAGAAGAAGAAGAAGAAGAAGACTACTTGACTACAGAAAAGTTATCTGAAAAGGCTTAAATCTGGAGGTCTTTTCCTTAACCAACCTGGCCTTATTGCTAATCTCTTTACTTAACCTTTTCATATACCTTTAATTTGATTCCAGTGCTGTAGTTATGGGTGCCTTAATTCTCAATCAATTACATTTCCAGGACATCATAGACTTGCTTAAAAACCACTTGATTGCTTCACCTTCCAGTGCCCCCCAATTTTCCTCCCTCCCTCTCTCTCTCTCTCTCTCTCTCTCTCTCTCTCTCTCTCTCTTTCTTTCTCTCTCTTTCTTAACTTGAAACTTAAGCTTATTTTCCCCTCTTAAACTCCCGAACTTTCTCAACAGCTATCTGCATCGATAGCTCATAACGAAGGTTGTCAAGGCAAAATGGGAAGGCATTCATGTTGTCTGAAGCAGAAGCTGAGGAAGGGACTGTGGTCGCCTGAAGAAGATGAGAAGCTCTTCAATCACATCATCAGATTTGGTGTTGGTTGCTGGAGTTCAGTGCCTAAGCTAGCAGGTTTGTTCACTCTAAGCTCTTATGGAAATAACTTTACCAATTTAGCAATCTAACTTATTCTCTGTAAATTTCGAGCAGGGCTGCAGAGATGTGGGAAGAGTTGCAGACTTAGATGGATTAACTATCTGAGGCCAGACCTGAAGAGAGGATCCTTCTCACAAGAGGAAGAGGATCTGATCATTGGCCTCCATGAAGTTTTAGGAAATAGGTACTCTCACCTTCAACAATGCTTATAATTTCTCATTAGAATTCCAAATGCGCACTGGACATTCTGACCAAAATATATATAGTTTCTTCATGATGGAATCAAATTTAAAAATTCCAATTTTGATACTCCAGGTGGTCTCAGATTGCTGCTCAGCTACCAGGGAGGACTGACAATGAGATCAAAAATTTCTGGAACTCCTGCTTAAAGAAGAAACTTCGACAAAGAGGAATCGATCCGACCACACACAAACCACTAAATGAGATTGAAAGAGAGCAAGAGAAGATCAATTCAGATAATTCTGTTCATGAAAATTTACCAATCAAACCCATCTTCAATCCATTTCCAACATTAGAATTCAACCCATCAGAAGACCAAACAGGAGCCAATATAATCTTATATGATCAGTTTCATAGTTCATTCATTTCTGCTCCAGGATTCTGCGAATACAGCAACTTAATGGATGTTTCAGGGAATTATTCCTACGGAAGCAGCTCGAGTAACACTAGTAACTGGAACTGTAACATTCGAAGTGATATGAATAACTTGGTCTGCAATGAGGCTCTGAATTGGAGGTCTGAAAGCAAGCTGGAAACAATAGTTGGAACTCAGTGGCCATCACTGTCTCAGGATCCTTCTGTAGCTTGTTTTGACGTTCCTCGAGGAGAATTTGATGCAGATTTCCTTTGACATATTTGAATTTCTGCTCCCTATTGCCTTCTTTTTCTTCTTTTTTTCACATTGTAGAACTCACGAATAATGTTCATATAGCTCCATCAAATTATACACGATATCTATAAAGTTGTCACTTATTTAGTTCATTTCAGTGTCTTGTCATCACGCACACAGAGACTAATATATTGTTTTCATTATTTTTTTTTTAACGGCTAACATTGTTTTATGAACAAATCTTGTCTGTGTTAGCAACTTTTGGGATGATATGAGCTGTTTTCATGATGTAATTTAGTTTGATGACATGGGCCCTTAGCAGTTGATATTTCATTTTCACCTTCAGTCATTAGAACTAAAGTAGAAATCATTAGGTAAAAAAAAGAGAAATTATTAATAAAAAAAAAATTTGCCTATAGAATTCTGTCCACTTCAGTTTATTTCTGCTCCTATAATCACAACAAACTCAAAAGATGAATATATTGTTCAAGGGAATTTGGAGAGATTGTAGAGGGGATAATTGAAAGCTGTTGTGAATCATGTAGAAATTGGGAGGACTTAATCTCATCTTCTCTAGGGAATTTGTTCAAAGAAAAACAAATGTATTAAGTTGGCTCAATACTATGTATGAATTATAGGTGATTTGTTAGGTATTTATTCAATATTTATGCATGAAGTACATTGTTGGTGTTGGGGAAGCAAAGCCACACACCAAAACAAACAAGAAATAGAAAATTACTGCTGAAATAAAGAACACTGAGATTTAACGTGAAAAAACTTAACCGGGAAAAACCCACTGAGAAATACAACACCAAGAAATTCATGATGAAAATTAGTAAAAATAATATATATCTCTTTTCTCCCTCACTCTCTCTGTGTCTCTCTTCACTCATGCATCATTCTCTTACAATCAAACAAAGAGAAACATTACTAAATATCACCATGGGACATAACCCTTCAAGAAAAATGATTAAGAAAACTATCAGCCCGCCTCTCAACGCCATAGTGCCAAGTTTAGAGCGCTGCGGCTTTCAACTATTTATCTTATGTCTGCCTGATAGCGTCTCAACACCAGGGTTTAAAGCGCCGTAGAGCTTCCTGGCAATGCCGCAACTCCAGCTTTTGGAGCACTGTAGCTTTTACGACCCATAATCTAATTTGAAAAAAAAAATTCTTGTCTTTTATTATGCAACAATCAAAGCTATCTAATATCATTTATTACTAATAGACAATGCGGAAAAATTCTTTAATTCAAAATATAAGTATTCATTAGTATTCATTACTTAAAAAATCATATACAATACTCAGGAATCATACAATCATATTATATTTATCCAAATCCTGAGTATAAAATAATAACTAAAACAAAAAAGAAACCTAAAGGATCCTAATTATTAATCTCTCACATCTGCTCCCTTGTCCTGGCCTGAAATTATTTAAACAACATATAATGAGCTAAATAGTCCAAGCGGTCACATTAAAATTCTATAACTGAATTCAAAGAAAGGTAGATAAGTAATATGCATGTCATCAGTTAGTTCATAACAGTAATAGTTATATGATAAAAAATCAATGCAGAAAAAATAAAACTCATATATATTAGTAGTAGAATTTATAAACATGAAATATAAAGGTACATAAGCCATTAAATTAATATAACGAAGGAATCAATAAACTAATACAGGTGTCAAACTAATAAAGCAATTGTCGTATTAATACTATCAATCAGTAAAGCAATCATATAAAGCGATCAAAATCAAAGCATCAATAAAGAACTGTTGAACTCAGAACAATGCAGTAAAATCATATAATTATATACACATATTATCTAGTTGGTCTATATCAGTATCAATATCATATAGGTATCTTAATCACATGCTTAGTATATCACATGCTCAATATGTTACATGTTCAGTATCAATAACAATAATAGTGAATTAGTAGTAGTATCAATAATAGTTTAGTAATAGTATTAATGTCTATATCAGTATTAGTGGTCATAGCAGTAAAATAGTGCAATAACAGTATTAATGTCTTCATCTTTGGTCCCCCTCCTACTATCATACTTGGATCCCACATCGTACCTGGATACCGATACTATCAAATAAATCTCTAATAATCTAAACATCTCCATTAACTTATGAAATTCCTGGATCTGCAAAGGAACTAATGGATGTCTCAAGTTCTTTTTCAATCCTTATAAAAATCTGTAACGCTTTTCTTCAGTAGTAGGGATCAAATGAGGAGTGTGCCTAGCCAATGTTGTGAACTCAACCTCATACTACACCATTATCTTGCATCCTTGCTCCAATTTAATGAAGGCTTCTTGTATATGTCATCTCGCTAATGGAGGTACAAGCAACATCCTAAACACTGTAGTGAATTCATCTCAAGTGGTCTTAACATTGGTCTTCCCCTGGAATTTCTCTGTTTGTCGTCCAATCCACCAACTCAGCATTTCCTTCAAATAAAAAACACAACCAATGGTACCTTTTGATTCTCTAGCATTGTAAGCTATCAAAAATCTTCTTTATCCTCAACAACCAATCTTCTATAATATGTGGTCAAACAACTCCTTTGAATAGCGAAGGCTTCAGCTTATGCAATGTTTATAAGTGTTTGTCTCCCTCTTCTTCGTTGCTCCTAAATAGCTTACTCTGAGTATCACCTATTACATGTGCTGGAACACTGGACAGCTGCATAATAGTGTTTGAAGGTACTGGACATGTATTATGTTGCTCATTTGGGACATCTCACTCTAGTATATACATTATACTATTCACTCACACATTTATGTCTTATCTGAATAATGCATACATGCAATTAATTATGTATAAAAAATAATACACCTTGATCTACTCATTCTACACGACTCATAATCAATTTCTTTTACTTTGATAATAACTCAATCAATTCTTCCAATAACTGCTCTGATACCAATTTGTCACGCCCCATAATCTAATTTGGAAGAATTTTTTCTTTTATCTTTTATTATACAACAAACAAAGTTGTGTATTATCATTTATCAGCAACAGATAGTGGAAACAAATTTTATAATTCAAAACATCAATGTAGATCTATATTCATTACTCTAAAAATTATATACAATACTCATGAATCACATAACCATATTATATACTTAAATAAAAGAAAAGGAACCTGGGGTCCTGATCAATCTCTCACTCTTGCTCCCTTGTCCTAATCTAAAATTATGTAAATCACATATAATGAGCTAAATAGCTGAGCAGATTGTACTAAAATCCTTTAATTGAATTCAAAGAATGCTAGAGAAGCAATATGCATGTTATCAGTCAATTCATAACAGTAACAGTCATATGATCTCATGATCTATATTTAATTTAATTTAAAAATATATTCATTAGATCAAGAATTAATACAAAAATAGTAAAATTCATATATAATAGCACTAGAATTTATAAATAGTAAAATAGTATGATAGGAAAGCTAGTAAATCAATACATTGGAAGAATTAATTAATAAATACGGGTGTCAAATCAATAAAGAAATCGTCTTATCAATACTATCAATCACTAAAGCAATCATATAAAGCGATAAAAATCAAAGCATCAATAAAGAACTATCAAACTTAGATTAATAGAGTAAAATCTTATAATTGTGTATATAAATTATCTCGTTAGTCTACATCAGTATCAATATCATATCGGTATCTTAATCACATATTTAGTATATCACATGCTCAGTATGTTACATGCTCAATATCAATAACAGTAATAGTGAATAGATAGTAGTATCAATAATAGTATCAATTTTTGCATTGGTATCAATGGTCATAACAATAAAATAGTGAAGTAACAATAAATATATATAGTGACAATAAATTAATATAATATCAATAAAGTCGTATAGTAATAAAGAATTCACATACGTTTCAGTAGTCAAACCAAATAAGTAAGAGATCTTAACTATTAAAGTATTTTTCAGTGTCGTATCAATATAAATAAATTGTTGAGTTAATAAACATGGTGTCACTCCTTATTTGATAGCACAGTAATAACTCCTTATAACTCACACTCGTTATATCATTGTATCACGTCAATCATTAGAGGATAACAAACAATCATAATATTCACTACAGGAAAATCACTCATTTCCGGCGGCAATTTCCGGCGGTTCAAATGCCGCCGGTAAAAACCGCGTAGGAAAATAAATTCCGGCGGTTTTTTCCGGCGGCAAGATTGTCCGGCGGCTTACCGGCGGTCTTAAACCGCCGGTCAAATTTAAAAAAAAAACAAAATTATTTATTTATTTATAATAAATGATCTAATATAACTTCAATAATTTATAAATGTAAAATAATAATATGAATTTAATCTATAAATATATAACATAAATTAATAATAATTTATTTTAAACTCATTAATTGATATGTAAGTTAAATTTTTATAAAATTTGAATTAAATTTAAACATTGAATACGTTTATATTTAAAATTTGAAAAGATATTAGTAATGTATAAATTCAATTTTTTTTAATAAAAAACTATATTATTATATGATTTTTATGTCATCTAAATTTTTATTTATTACGTTATCCAGTTCGACCCCAGTTCGACCAGTTGAACCATAAACTACTCCTACCAATTCATTGTCTGTTCCTGTTTTCACAACCTTACTTTATAACACTGTAACGCTCGGATACACATCATTGTACAGTTGTACAAAAAAATTATCAGAGAACCCCTTACAACTTCTCGCAAGCTCGATTGATATAATTGAAGTCCAAAACAATAATATAATTAGACTGATCGACACAATCAAATTCTACTCAAAGCTAACAGCGAGACAGATGGATAGATAGATATCAAACTTCTTGAGTGGAAATTCGAAAGCTGGTTAGATGATTTTATATAAATTAGCTATGCATTTGGTTGTTAGCTCTATAAAGTGATACACGAAAGCTTAATTGTTAGCTATATTATTTTTTTGTTGAGCGAGGGTGCGTTCGCCCTTCGTAATAAAGCCACAAATTACAGCATTTCTTAACACTTAATTTTCATGTACAAGCAACTAAATGGCCCCTCCATGACGTTTTAAATGCTCCATTTTTTTCTCATGTCTATATTTACATAAGCAATTTTCTCAGCTGATTTTTATGTAAGAAATGCGTAACGTTAGAGTCGTTGCATCCAATTTCAAACTGTAAGAGTAATAGAACCCAATTTATAATTAAATTCACGTTTTAATCGCATGAAAGCTGTACATAAACTCAAATTTACACTAATACCCATAGATAAATTTTTAAAAAAATCAAGGGAAAAAAACTGATATAATAGAAGAGAACTCACAATCATAATAACTTTACTGACGAGCCCCCTAACAACACGATCTCTTCACAAGCACAGCAGATCCTCCAAAACAAAAGAGTATAATTAAATTGTATCACATATCACACTGCGAGCTTTTGAGCTTAAAATTCATAGAATTCAAATCATAAACTCTAATATAGGGGTGTTAATTTCAGGTTACGGGCCAATTCGGAACTGGCCCGATCTTATTTTGATTGACCCGAATACAACCCATTTTTTACAAACAAGTCAATTTGTTCAACCCGGATCTGATCCGTTGGATTTCCGGGTTGACCGGACATGACACGGGATATGACCAAAGACGTGCGAAGGGTTAAGGCCGTGAATGGGAAGCGACGTCGCTTGATGACGAAACAAGGTCGACTAGAATGCTTCCTCCGCCGCCAATGCTTCCTCCGACGAGATGAGGAAGGTCGGCTGCAATGCTTCCTCCCAAGTAGCATCGACCACGAAGATGCTTGACGACACCTTACAAACGAGATTACAATGCGGTGAGCGATGGCAAATGGACCAAAGGCTGGAGCCACTTGACGCGAAGGTAGCCCAACAGGGACGTGACCGAGCAGGAAACAATTGGTCCGAGTCATATTAGGTTGATTTCGAGTATCTAGGTCAACCCAAATCCGACCCAATTTTACAAGCAGGTCAAAATCCTTAACCCGACCCAATTAAAATTCGAGTTAATTTTCTAATCAAATTCGAGTCAAATTTTCGGGTCATGTCAAAAATTGCCACCTCTACTCCTAACACATTTCATATAAAAGTGCTTAAATTTATGACATTTGTACTAAAATAATACAGTTTTTTGGAATTTAGGGGATTCAAACTCAAATGAGATGAGAAAAATTTCTTCCATCGACCACTCAGTCGCAGACCCGGTCTCAAAAGAAGAATACATATTCAAAGACCGGATATCAGCTTACATCATAACAAATGATTTGATGCATGCAATGAAAAAAAAATACAAATAAAGAAATTTGTTTGCACATCTTCACATGAAAAGTGCACTGCAAGGACAACCAAGCTGGCACTCAATGTCAATACTACAAGTAATCGTTAAGGCTTTTGGCTATAAATGAGAAGCAGACCACTAGTCAGCAATCAGCATAATAGAGCAAGTTTATAAGCAATAAACATCCATTCAATCACAACGAACATTAGGATGATATCTCACCTTTCAAAAAAAAAATTGTTAAAGTAGAGATGGACAATCCAGCATGAAGAATATTTCTCTGCCTCCTGTTTCTCACTAGATTATGACTTCGTTTGGGACGGCTTATTTACTGTTTCTTAAAGAAGCTTTTGAATACAAAATTTTAATTTTTTAACTATAAAGCTGTTTTATGAAACAATAAGAAAGCCGTTCCAATCGAAGCCTATATCTGAAGAGAATGATTGTGCTAGAAGTAGAAACCCCAAATGTCCATTATATCCTTTTCACACTATCACCAATTAGAACAACCATCCCTTCGCTCATCAGTGTGGCGAGGGCATTCTTCAGCTGGGAGAAGACAAAGAGCCCCTTATTGTATCAATCAAAACTGGAAACTAGGCGCAAAAACAAGTTATTCAAGCCAGAAACTGTAACTTACATCATGAAGATGAATTTCCATAGAGCTCTGCTTCCTCAACTCTTCCAGCAACTGTATAGTTGAATCAAATTATAATATGAATAGAATAAGAATTTTTTGCATTAGAAGGAATGATAAAGCACCTCAACAACTCGAGTTGGTGACCCTCCGATTTGCATTCGGTCCATTACAAGGTTTCGTGCCGCTGCGACCAGGTTCTCTCGTCTGATTCTCTCGCTAGCCGATATCCCGGTCATTATAAGATCCATGTCGATTGTTCCTTTTGAGCAAATCCCAAGGTTACATTACATTATAGTTAATAAGATATGAACTTGCAGCATTCAAAATTAGTTACTTCAATTACCAGTTGAATGATCAGTTGCTGATTGCTGCATTGCAACCTCCAGCAGCCTAAAAGCCTCGGTCACATCCCGTTTTTCAACCTGAAATTTTTTATATCAATAAATCTATCTAAGGCTTTGTTTGGGATGGCTTTCTTCCTGCTTTTTAAAGCTGCTTTCTTTAGTGACTTTATTACCCTAAATGAAAATAAAGATTTTTGTTTTTATCGGCATATAAGTAAAACCGAAGTTAGAGAGATTTTAAAGAAAATGAAATGTGAAAAAGCTGTTGGACTTGATGATATTCCAATAGAGATGTGGAAATGCTTAGGAGATGAAGAAATTTCATAGCTCACTAAACTTTTTAATATTGTTTTGAAGACTAAAAAGATATCAAATCAGTGGAGAATGAGTGTGTTAATTCCTATTTTTAAGAATAAAGGTGATGCACAATAGTGTGAATTATAGAGGAATTAAGTTAATGTGTCATACTTTAAAACTATGGGAGTGAGTTATGGGGCATAGGTTGCGGCGTGATACTAATGTTTCTCAAAATCAATTTGGATTCATGCCGGGTAGGTCTACAATGGAAGCCATACATTTAGTGAGAGGTTTGATGGAGAATATAAAGAGAATAAGGAGGATCTACATATGATATTTATTGATTTAAAAAAGCATATGATAAAGTTCCAAGAGAAGTGCTATGGAGAGTTCTTGAAAAAAAATGAGTTAATAATGCTTATATTCAAATCATTAAAGAAATATATGCAGGAGCTATTACTTGTGTTCAAACACAAGGTGGTTTGACCAAGTATTTTCCTATTTTGGTTGGATTACATCAAGGATCAGCCTTAAGTCCATATCTTTTTGCTTTAGTCATGAATGTTCTCACTAGATATTTGTAAGAGGATGTACCTTGGTATATGCTTTTGCTGATGATATTCTTCTTGTTGATAAGACTAGAGAGGGAGTTGAAGGTAAACTTGAATTATAAAGGTCAACTTTAGAGTTTAAAGGTTTTTGCTTGAGTAGATCTAAAATTGAATATATGGAGTGTAATTTTGGTAGCAATAGTGAGGGAAGTGTGACTTTGGGCGATCAAGTACACATTTTAGATATCTTGGATCTATTGTTCAGAGTGATGGTGAAATTGATGGGGATATTATCAACAAAATTCAAGCTGGATGGTTGAAGTGGAGGAATGCATCGGGCTTATTGTGCAATAGAAAAGTCCCCCTCAAACTGGATGGTGGTGAGACCTGCAATGCTTTATGGTGCTAAATGTTGGCCATTAAAAGAGAAACATAATACTAAGTTAAGTGTTGCAGAGATGAGGATGTTTAGGTGGATGAGTGGCTTGACACAGAGATAGGATACGAAATGAGCATATACGTGAAAAGGTTGGAGTAGCTCTAGTGGAAGATAAGATTAGAGAGAGTCGTCTTAGATGGTTTGGTCACATTAAATGGAGGCCTTCCGATGACCCGGTTAGGAAAGTTGAGATATTAGATTTGACTTAATGTTAAGAAAGATAAAGATAGACTTAAAAAGACTTGATTAGAAAATATTAAAAATGATCCTTCTTTATTAGATTTAAATGAGAATTTGACTTTTAACCGAACACAATTGTGAAAAGGATTCATGTAGCCGACCCCACAAAGTGGGACAAAAGCTTGATGTTATTGTTATTGTTGTAGAAAGTCATTTCAAGAAGCAGTAAGAAAATTGTCCCAAACGAAGACTAAATGACAAAAAAAACAGAAGGCTTGCTAGTAAAAGCAAATGCTGCACTTGGAACTACCAATTCAGAGAATCGCATTCGAGCTAGAGCTTCACTGAGACGAATCAAGCTCTCTATTTGCCTAGCTGTTGCTGTTATAACCTATGAAAGCAACTCTTATTAATATGTTGCAAATAAAAAGAACCTACTTATACAAGCGTATCTTGATACCTTTTTACTGCTTCCTGGAGAGTTTCCTCTTTTCCTCATCTCAACATAACCACTGGTTAAATCTTCAGCAGCTTCATCGGAGAGTATTGGGTTGAAGTGCTTTCTAGCATAGCTAATGTATGCGGTAAGAGTAGGAAGATCCATAGCTTCCTGTATTATATTCTGTAAAAGAATAAACATTATTCAATAGCGTCCCATGCCATTCAAATTTGAAAAAAAAAATTCGGTTATTTGTTAATAAGATGGGATAAAACAGGAGATATAGACAAGTATAAGCAAGATCTCATTCATTTGATAAAAAAGTTATCTGGAAACTATAACATTTACCAAAAATGAAAAGTTCAACGCATAGCTACTAGGTAAAAATACTAGATAATCACTAAGCGGGTCTTATTTGAAGGTCTGATCTAGCTAGGCTAAATAAAAAAAATTTTCGAACAAAGTATTTTTCATGAGTACAGAAACTCTGCTTAGCTTCTGAACTTTTATCATAATGTCGCTACAAACAAGGAAAATCAAGCCTAAAATGAGTAAATATTTGCTTATAGCAAGTAAATGCTTGCCTTTTTTCCGCCAAGATAGAAATGTCTAGCCAAATAGCACGTGTTTGCACGTAATTAGACTTTGCTCAAAGGAAATATTTGCAGAATTGTTGAATGCAGACTAGAAAGAGTTTGATAGACTCCAATTTTAACCTAACCTAATTTTCCACATAAGTTTTTGACGTAATAAATGCAGAACTAAGCTAAGCAGTTGAATACAGGAACAAAGCAAAGAACAGAAAAACAGCAGCAGAAATTCAGGTTTTTAATATTGAGTATCTGATCCTTCATCCTTCAGTTGATGCAATAAGTTTGTTGCGAACTTTTGTGATTAAATTGGTGAAATTATCAGTTAATTGAGCTGCTATAGTGTTGCATTTGGGCAAAACTGCAATATCAATAGTATGGTTAAGAGTCTTAGTATAAACAATGCTGAAAGGGCATCAATCAGCTGAGCAATTAGGCATAGTATCGTATACAAATTCAATAATTCATCCCATAGCTTCAAATGGTCCTAAATCAAGCATCTTAACATGTTTTCCAATGTGCAATTCACCACTTCAATTTGCCTATTGGATTGAGAGATAAGCCGAACTTAAATTAATGTGTCAGTGCACAAACATCTCCACAAATCTCACCAAAAATAACCGATGAATTTAACAAATATGTCAAAATTGAGACATCTAGGACTCCATATAAGCAAATTATCTTGTTAAAGAAAAGACATGCAATGTTTGGAGCACCAAATATCTTTTTAAAAACAATAAAGTAGGCCTTTTTTGAAAACATGTCCACAACTACCATGATAGAATCATTGCCTCGCCTACTTCTTGGTAAAGCCAAAATGAAGTTCATACTAAGATCTACCCAAATGGTTGTGGGCATAGGTAATTATATGTATAAACAAGAATTTTGGCTGCCTCCCTTGTGTTTTGACAAAACGAGTCACATCATTGCACAAGTGTGGCCAATAAAAACTAAGTTTAAGCCGTTCTATCATTTTCACGCCCTATATGAGCAGACAACCCACCGCTATGTATTTCTTTGATTAATTGTTGCTGCCAGGAAGACTTAGGAGTGCAAAGTTGGTTTCATTTAAAAAGAAAACCATGTCTGATAGTGAAATCAGAAGTGCAACCGTAGGAATGGCAATCAAATCAAATTTTGCTGAAACTTTTATCAATCTCATGTAGCTCCTTTAAACACTCTAGACCAGAAATTTTAGTTTGCAATTGAATTAATAGGGTTGACGTGCGGCTTAATGCATCAGCTACCCTGTTTTCTTAACCCAATTTGTGCTTTAACACAGGTAAATAACTACAAGTATAGCACCCACCTAGCATGCCTTCTGTTTAAATTTTTCTAGTTGTTAATGTAAGATAGGGCTTTGTGATCACTAAACAGGACAAAATCCCGATTCAACAGGTAATGCTTCCATTGTTTCAAAATAAATGACACAAAAATATGCTCAAGGGTCATTAATCTCATGAATCTGGAAGGGGTGTTGCATAACCCGAATGACATCACCTTCCACTCATAAACTCCTTCACGCGTTTTAAAAGTTGTTTTCCACTTATCTCCTAACCGAATGCAAATTTGATGATAATTGCTGCACAGGTCCAGCTTTGAGAAAATAACAAATACTGATGTTTAATCAAGCTCCAATTTTTAAGTTCTTAGTTTACTTAATTCTGCTAGTTTCAAAGCACTCTTTTTTTAACGACCATCAAGGCATTGTTGCAAAAAATGTCAATTCCTTCCAACATGTGAAGTAATATACTGATATGGGAAATAAATTATGGCTACAAACCTCCGGGTCTTGGAAATGCAAAGCAACAATGTGCTTTGCAAGACGCCTATCTGTTTGTTCATCAGCTTTGTCCAAAACAAGGTAAATCAAATCAAACCTGCAAATGAATGTGTTTTCAGACTAGAGAAGATAAACAACAGCAAGTAAATCAAACTGATTGTATTTTTGCAGTAGTAGACTTACCTGGAGAGTAGGGTTGGGGGAAGGTGAATGTTCTCAATGACTGAGAGCCTAGGGTTATATCGAGACCCACTAGGATTTGCACAAGCTAGGACAGATGTTCTGGCATTCAAGGAAGCAATTATCCCAGCCTTTGCAATTGAAACTGTTTGTTGTTCCATGACCTACACGAATTTAAGTAGTTATTAAGTTAAAATTACTTTCTTGCACACATCAGCGAATGACCTGCAACGATTTCATGCCAAAGGCATCAAATTTATACCCTTTTTATTTAAAAAAAAAAACTGTACTTGGAATTTCAGGATTGCTGGATACTTCTTTATATAAGAATAGCAAAAAACATATTATTTCCAGCCCAAAGAATTTCTCCCATATTATACAAACCTCATGCAACATACTCCGTGCATTTTCCGACATCTTATCAAACTCATCTATACAGCAAACACCTTTGTCACTAAGGACGAGTGCCCCACTCTCCAAAACCTTCACAAAAGTTGTCAAAATAAATAGTCAAAATACCTTTCAATATAACAGTTTACAATGGTAGAAGGTAACAAGTAGACTGATGTAGAAATACATCTTACTGTTTCACCAGTTTCTGGGTCCTTCGTTACGTAGGCAGTTAAACCAACAGCAGAGCTTCCTCTGCCACTGGTATAAATCCCACGTGGAGACAATTTATGCATGTACTGCAGCAACTGGGACTTGCTGGTTCCAGGATCTCCAACAAGTAGGATATTGATGTCTCCACGAAAGCTAGCTCCAGATGGAAGGTTTAGAGCATTACCACCAAAAAGCTGAAAAAAGATCAAGGTGCATAGAATGTCAATGTAATTAGACAACAAATCTTGCATGAGAATAATAATGTCAAGTAAATGCAAATCTACCTGACAAAGAAGCCCCCTTTTCACATCATCTAATTCCCATATATTCGGAGCTAGTGACCTTGTCAGCCTATCATAAATATCAGGTAGTTTTGAAAGCTCTTTCAACTTATCAACCTGAAAGATGAACACTAACTGATCACCATGTAGCAGAGCACGCTATCAATGTATTAAGAGATGAGAGGACAAGGATCAGAATGGGGATGAAAGGAAGGTGTGCTAAGTGGAGATGGCAAACCTTATCTTGATACTCTGGTGAATCCTCTGCGATATCAACCCCGCTAGAATTATTACTGGAATCCATGGGATCATCGAGATGCAACCTTGACTTATCAGTCTTCTTTAAGTGGAGACAATCAATGTATGTCTGTCAAGAATGGTTAGTGACTAATAGTTTGTTAAGAATCGTGTGATGTAACAAGCCTTCACCATACAAGGAACTTCAAGTGGAATATGATTTGAAAGCATAGAATACCTTGAATATAGATTTAACAGTTCTCTGAGTTGGCCCCACTCTAACACTCATAGCTCTATATACCCCAGTAATCTACCACCAAAGTAAATCAAAAGAACAAAAAATTATGAAACACAGAGATGGACGATTAAAAGATAAGTTAAATCTACTCCAAGGGTTGACGGCACTAGAAGAAACATATAGAACCCTCCAACCCAAACAACATTTATGAGATTTTCTTACTTCAACTCTATCTCCAGGTTTCCCTGTATCCACTAGTTTGTCATGCATAAGTATGCTGACTGTGTGCGGAGTTCCACCTTCAGGTATCTCATCTGGTGTCTCCTGTAACTTGACTATCTGCTTGTCTGCAAATCTAGTATTCCAGTCACTAAATTAACTTCTGAAGGTAGGATCAACAAATCAATTACAACAGCATTGCAAAATGGATATAACCTGCATCGATTATGGACCAATGCCATGGAGTTTGTGGCCAAGCATTCCTGCCTTCCACACCTAGTTGGCTCATTAATGCGCCCTACCAAACAAACAAAAGATTGGCTGATATTAGGAAAAAAGAAATAAAGCATATAATAGAGCTTAAGAAAAGAGTTTGAATATAGATTCAGATACCTCCATGCTTGACTTGTACAATTGATACCTTAAATTTCTAGGTAGATGCCATGAGATCATTAAAAAAAAAAAAAGAGACCCCAAAAAAAAAAGTTGGTTGAGAGTTATAGAAAGAGATGAGAGAGAGAGGGGCATGCAATTTCTTTAGGAGAATGCTAGGGAAATGAGGCTAGCCTCCAACGAACATCATCATTAATTTCTTATATGATCGTCTATCCTACTTTGGAGCCAACGCTTTCTTTCCATTTATTGTCAATTCCATCGCTATTGTCCTTTGTCTTGGTTTTACTCAAAGTTTCCTTTTATTACTCCACCACTTCAAAAGACTTGAAGAATAGATGAAAACCAGTCCTCATTTTTTAAATTAAATACTAAGAAAACATGATAATGTTGTACATAAAAATAATGTGCTTGAGCCCACAAATTTAAATCATTAAATAATCATCAAGAAAGCATACTATTTTGTTTTTTTACCATACTAACACAAAAATTTGGATGGAAGGATGTCAATGATAGGCTAAAATGCACATGCTAGCCAAGAGAATTATACCTCGATCCACCATAATAGGCTCAGAGAAGTGACCGCAAATCAAGCACCTAAAAATTGCCTCTTTAACCTCAGGTATAATTGAGCTGGATCGAATGATCATTCCCTTCACGGACACCATCTTCTCAATATCTACACATCAAACAAAAAAAGGAATTAAAACAAATGGACACATTACTAGCAAATTAAATAAACATAAAATCAAGTAAATAGGAAAAAGAAAAATAATCATATTAATATTGAAATCAACGATATAAAAATGAACAATATGAATAATAAATTTAAAAGTTGTTGACGAATAAAAAATCTATTATTATGTTTATATTATCACAATTCACATGTTAAGTCATATATCAATGGAATATTTTTTAATTCATTATCATAAAATTTTCAATATTTTGAGAATGTTCTACTTTATTGTATTTTTTAATCATTCTCTTGTGCCAAATACATATTTAAAAACATATTAAAAAACAATACAATAGATCAATTTCTCATATTATCTTCTTCTAGCATGGTATCAAAGAAAAATTGCTTCTGTTGCTTGAACTTTAGACCTACACTAATCTTCTCTATGCAATCTCGACGCACACACAATTCTTCTCTGTGCACAACACGCTCTATGCACTCCTTATAACTGCCACTTACAATCATTATCCATCTTTAAAATAATTTTGGCTTCAACAATTCCCCACTTATTTCTCCAAGCCCTAATTTATTTTAGCCTCTTGTCATAGATCAATGGCATGCTCACTACAAATAAGTTATGTCGCACTTGTCCTAAATCACCTCAACCACAAGATTGTCAAACCCGGCCACTTGGCCTCATCTTTATCTCCTACATTCACTCAATTTCCATCTACAAGATTTAGTCATTCATTTCAAAATAAGGACAATGTCATTCACCATTACCACTATGCCACATATCCATATTTGTCTTGCCTTCATCTTGTGAATCCTCATTATATCTCCTCAATGCAATCCTACAAGTTTCAATCATGACCTACAATACCACATCTCCTCTATATGTCTCAACAAAATTGTATCTCTCAAATCACAATCATGTGGGTCGTCAATGATGCAGGCCTCAAATCATCATTTGTACATTTCATCAACTTCATCATTGCATATCACGATAAGAAATAATCTTGAGACACTATCAATACATATCTCCTCAATATGTATATGCTTAATGCCTTCTAGTCATCAATGCACACGTGCCAAAGTAATAAATTCTATCTCCACCTCTACAAAGTCTAACTTATTTTATTGTTTCTCGTGGACATCAATACCATCAATCTCTACAGCATACTTACAAAACATTGTTGTTACTCTTTATCCAAAATTCTCATCGCAAACTGCCTATAATATATCTTCGAACCTTATTTACATCTATACTTTGTAAATCATAAATCGCTACCTCTATTTCACACTGATCATAAATAACCAACCATTGGTCCTCATAAAACCACACATTGTCCCTAAATCCATCTCAAGTTAAGCTTCATGCATGCACTTATTGCACTTATCGCACTTATCACCAATAGCCTAATAACCATGCTATTCTCCTTAATCTACATACCCTTGTTATTGATCTCATCAACCACCTTCTTGGTTGTCACATTCAAACTACATGTCAACCATCTCATCACTTCTATAATCATCAACCTTGTCATAACCCTACCTCTAGTTGTTAGCCACCACACCATATAGCTGATCTTTCTTATTATGTCTTAAAAAGATCATCATATATTTTTTTGTTAGATGATATCATGTTATCACCATTCCAAAGACTGACACTCTATGATGCTCTATCAATACTTCCATTGAAGCCTTTTACCCATTTCTCCATCAACACCTTTGCAAATACCTCCATCAATATTCTCAATCTATACCACTATCAATGCTCTCTATTGATAGCTCCTTAATGCACTTCAATGTCATCTATGTTGATGCATCCATCATCAACACAGATCTTTGTTTTTTGTTGAATCTTAGTTTGCCTAGCCCATAATGTATCTCGCCTTCAACAGAACTCTATCCATACTTTGTTTGATGATCTATTTATTTGTTCATGCTCTATGTATTATCTCGAATTCAAAGAGACAATTTGAAGAGAGAGAAAAAGAATTTGGGTTGGAAATATGAATAAGAAATAACTCCGGGCAAGCTTCCAAGATGGCGGTCTTTTAAGATGATAGGAATCCAGGAAAAATTTGCACAAGAAATGAACCAAATCTCTCATCAAGAAAGAACGTATATTGAGATATATACAAGCAAAGAATTAATTCATAATACACAATATGATTTTAAGTAGAATGGGTGAATTTCCATCAAAAACTTCACAAGAATGTTATTAATAGAGTACTCCAAAATTGGGTGACCACCTAAAAAATTACATTAAAATGGATATAATTACGAGATTCAACTTGGTATAAGACAAGGTGAGCAAAAGTAAGCAATATCATGCACACTATAGCCTTGCTTTTTACAATTGATTTTATAATATGGCCTTTTTAGCAAAATATGTGGTTAAGGACGAATCAAGTGAAAATTGGTGAGTATGTGAAATTCAGAATGAGAAGGGTCGGGAGAAATTGCAAAAGATGAGATTCAAACAAAGAAAAACTTTTTGAAGGCTTCCAGAAAAAAAAAAACAAGACAAGAATGAACCAAATCCCATCAAAATGGCTATATAAATAAGGAATTAAGTTATAATATCACAAGCAAATTATATTGTAATTGATGGAATTTTCTTAAATACTCAATATTTAAGCGTGCATATAATAAAGTAATCCTATGATGAATAAACTCCTCAAAAGTTGCATTAAAAAGAATAAAGCTCTGAGGTTCAACTTTATATGTGATGAATTGGGTCAAAAAGATAACATTCTACAAAACATGGCCTAGAGTTCTACAATATTTAGGAACTGGTTCATTTTTTGTTTTGGGATCTATTCATGCTTTATTTGAGCATCATATTTGTCACAAATTTAATGACAAAAACTCCATTCATCTTAATCCTCATTGGACTCTCCTCTACAAAATTCAAAAGTATTGGACAGTCCTATAAGTATAATACTCAGAAGTTTTAAGCAACAAACCTTCAACTACTTCCAAACTCAATTCAACATCATTTATATCTCCTTGAACTTAAGAAAGAGTATTGTTATATATACATACATACATACGTAATATTTATTATCCTTGTAGAAATGCGAACCAAGAACGCGAACAGAGACAGAAATGGAATAAGGAAATATTATTATTATCAATGTATTCACGGTACAGACCTATGCATATATAGGGAAGTAGCAAGATACAAGATAGTAATATTTACACTAATGCCACAGATAGTCAGATAAGTAAATTACATAATGAATTATTTATTTGTGCTCTAATATGCCCCTGCAAACTGATGGTGGTTGAGTCACGGTCAGTTTGAGTCTGAGATATTGAAATCTTGGAGTGGATAGCGGTTTTGTGAAGATGTCCGCTATTTGATCATTGGTACTAATTGGTAGTAGTCGGATGTTCTGAGCTTGAATGTTATCCCGTACAAATTTTTGATCTATTTCTATATGTTTTGTACGGGCATGAAACACAGGATTGTTGGCAAGTGTGATTGCTGAGGTGTTATCGAAGTACAAATTGGTCGGAGAATGTTGCTCTATGCCGAGTTCAGTGAGAAGGCGTCTTATCCAGGTAATATCTGCGGTTAATGCTGCGAGGGCTCGATATTCGAACTCAGTAGAAGATCTTGAGACTGTGTGTTGCTTTTTAACGGTCCATGATATGAGCGTATCACCCAAGAAAGAGCAATAACCGGAAGTTGATTTTCTTGATACGGGATCGCCTGCCCAATCGGCATCTGAAAAATATTTAAGATAGAGATTAGATTTTGTAATAGGAATTCCATAATCTATGGTACCTTTTATGTAACGAAGAAGTCTTTTGAGAAGATAGAAGTGTTGCTCCATTGGGTTATGCATTTGTTGTGATAGAAGATTGATACTGTAGGCGATATCGGGTCTTGTTAGCGTAAGATATTGGAGGGACCCGATTAAACGTCTGTAGATAGCGGGATCAGTAAAGTTGTCATCATGTTTGAACGACGTTGGGATCTTCGTGCATGTTGGGTTAGCCAAAGCATTACATTGCAGCAGGTTGGCTTGATTTAGAATATGCAAAGCGTATTTTTGCTGTGACAGGAAGTATTGTTGTGAGTCATAGTCAATTTTTATGCCCAGAAACTCTGTTGCGTGGCCGAGGTGTTTCATTTCAAATCGAGTTGTAAGCTGATGCAGAACTTCGGAGATTGCCTGAGAATCGGAGCCTGTGATTAGTATGTCGTCCACATACATGAGCAGGAAGATTTGTTGATTAGACTTGCAACGGATAAGAAGCGATTGATCTGCTTGACTGTGAGTGAATCCGAGAGAAAGGAGGTATGAGGTGAAAGTATTGAACCACGACGAGGGGCCTGTTTAAGGCCATAAAGAGCTTTGTGAAGATGGCAGACATAATCCGGGTGTTCAGAGTCTTCGAAACCTTTTGGTTGACGCATGTACACGGTTTCTTGTAATTTTCCGTGAAGAAATGCATTAGCTACGTCTAATTGCTGAACAGGCCAGTTTTTATTGAGTGCGACTGTGAGCAGGATGCGAATTGTAGGGAGTTTCGCAACCGGGCTGAACGTCTCGAAGCAGTCAATACCATATTCTTGATGGTTTCCTTGGGCAACAAGACGTGCTTTGTGAGTAGCTATCGAGCCGTCTGCATGTGTTTTGGTACGATAGGTCCACCTACATCCAAGAATAGAGGCATTAGGGGGAGGTTTTACAAGATTCCAAGTACCTTGCTTTTGAAGAGCGAAGAATTCCTTTGCCATGGCCTGACGCCATTTATCGTGTTTGACAGCTTCAGAGTAAGCCGTAGGATCGGGGAGATGGTTGGAGCAAGTGTTGTGATGAAATAAATTTAGTTTTCTAGTGGGCTTGAGTGAACCAGTCTTTAGCCGAGTGATCATAGGATGCACAGGAGGTGGGTTGGTTTGTTGTGGTTGAGGACTGGGACAGGGATTGGGGATGGTAGGCAGCGGATTAACTTGATCCTGAGGTGAAGGAGAATCAAAGCCCGTATTGGATATGGAGGAAGATATAGTGGAATTTGGCTTACGAGATGTTGGTACAGGTTGAAGTAAAGCAGGGGGAAAGTTAACGGTAGGAGAGTCCGTGTTAGAGGGTAATTTGGAAAAAGGAAACGAATGTTCCAGAAATGTGGTGTGCCTGGAGATAAAAATTTTGTTCGTGGATATATCCAAACATTTGTAGCCTTTGTAGATGTCGGAGTATCCAAGAAAGACATGTGATTTGGCCTTAGGTTGCATTTTTTGTCTAGAGTGCGGTGGAGATAGAGGAAAGCATTCGCATCCAAAAATGCGGAGATGAGAGTAGTCAGGTTTATTACCGTGAATGAGTTCATAAGGAGTGACATTGTTTGTGTTTTGGGAAGGCATTCGGTTTATGAGGTAAACAGAGGTGATGATGGCTTCAGGCCAACGTTGGCGGATGCAGTAGCCAGCAGAGAACGGGTTGTCTCAATTATGTGTCTATGCTTTCTTTCGGAGACGCCGTTTTGCTCGGGTGTGTAGGGGCACGATATTTGGTGAGAGATACCGTGAGTTTTGAGGAATTGTGTGAGGTTGTGATTCACAAATTCCTTGCCTCCATCTGTGCGAAGAGTTTTGATATTGTATGACGTGAGCTTTTCAATATTTGTTTTAAACTGCATAAAGATGTTAGACACCTCGGATTTATTTCTCATTGGAAAGATCCAGGTAAAACGCGAATAATCATCTACGAAGATAACGTAATAATTAAAACCTTGCACACACGTCAGAATGAATTAAAGAAAGAGGCAACTGTTGTCGATGTTCAGAATTCGTAAAACTGAGTTTATGACTTTCAGTTTGTTTACAGATATTGCAAGAAAGAGAATCTTTATGTATATGTAACTTGGGATTACAATATGCTATCGTTTTTAAAATTCGATCATGCGGATGACCGAGGCGGTGGTGCCAAATATCAGAAGCAGAGATATCATTCGGTGATGTTGCGAGTGCGGGAAAAGCAGTGACGGGTTGAACTGGGTACAGTCCTCCATTACATGGTCCTCGAAGAAGAACCTGATGCGTCTTCATATCCTTAAAAACAAAACCGTTTGGATCAAAAATCACACAAATATTGTTATCTCTGGTTAGTTTTGAGATAGATAAAAGGTTGTATTTAAGCAATGGCGAATGCAAGATATTAGACAAGAATAGCTTACGAGGCGGGGTCGGTAACAACCCCGAGCCCGAATTGGCAATGCTTAGTGAGCGGCCATCTCCGACCGTGATTGTATCAGGTCCCTGGTAGGGATTTGCGATCGAGAGATTTTCGAGAGAGTTCGTGAGATGCGTAGAGGCTCCCGAATCCAAATACTAGTTTGTGGAAGCAGTTTCGGAATTGGCAGCCAAAGCAGTGTTTCTTGTGTTTCTTGCAGTCGGCACATATTGATCATTCATGCGATGCCAGCAATCTTGAGCTGAATGCCCACGTTTAAGGCAGATTTGACACGTGATATCCTTGCCTGAAGAACGAGTGTTGGTATTCTGTGGTGTGGGAATTCGTTGTTTTGGGCGACGGCCACGACCCCGAGAAGAAAACAGAGCTGTGGATGGGTCATTGGGTTGATTTGCTTGTGTATTATCTGCTGAGATATTGATTTCCTCACTTAAAAGCAAGGGATAAAGTTGATCAAGAGAGATGGGCGTGATCATCGTCCGTATAGCCGTTTTGAACGACTGATACGTGTTCGGGAGACCTTTGAGGATATACAGGATGATATCCTCTGTATCTACCGAGGAGCCTGCCACCGAGATTTGATCGACAATGGTTTTAATTTCGGAGAGGTATTGCACCATTGTGGAGTTCTTGAGCGAAACATTGTGAAGTTCGTTCTTGAGTTGAATGACTTTTGATTTGTTTGTTGCTTGAAATCTTGTTTGAAGATTGATCCAGATTTGAGCCGTGGACTCAAGATTTAGCACATAGGGTAGCACTGTCGCCGAAATTGTGGAACAAAGCGCTGCCGACAGATTCTGATCGGTTAGAAGCCAGAGATCATAAGAGGGGTTCGGGGTCAGGGTACCGTCCGATTGTTGTTCTTGACGAGGCGGAGGAGAGCAGGTAGGATCAAGAAATTTGTCAAAGCCATTTGCTCTGAAGATCTTTATGATTTGAGATCGCCATAGAGCGTAGTTGTCGGGTACTAAAGAAAAAGTAACGAAGTTCTTTAGATTAGATACGACGAACTTGAGCGTCGTTGGAATGGAGGGATCGCTGGAAGAAGAGAAGGATTCAGAGTGGTCGGCGAGATCAGAGGGGGTGTGGGTAGCCATGAGCGTGGATCGTTCACGCTGCTTCTGATACCATGTAGAAATGCGAACCAAGAACGCGAACAGAGACAGAAATGGAATAAGGAAATATTATTATTATCACTGTATTCACGGTACAGACCTATGCATATATAGGGAAGTAGCAAGATACAAGATAGTAATATTTACACTAATGCCACAGATAGTCAGATAAGTAAATTACATAATGAATTATTTATTTGTGCTCTGATAATCCTAATATTCTTTCATTATCAAGAATTTATCCTTTATTGTATTTCCCTTTATAATTCCATTGTAATATCTACATGTAGACATCAATATGTTTGCACTGAAAAATAATTCAATGGGACATTTCTCCCGCTCTCTTCTTCTAAAAATAATAAGTCAAACCGTATAGATTGCTGGAAGACTGAGATTGACAAGTGTGATCGAACAAAGTAAACCAAACTAATTATCCATTGATGCAGGAAACTAGGTCGAGCAGATCATAGAGCACAAGGTTAAGTAAATCATCTGATATTAAATTTTGATGATGAGAGTTTGCTGAGTTTCCTAGCATAAATGAGAACGGTGTGCCTATATAGACAAACACTAGTGCCATAACAAGCATATGAAGATGATAAGGTTGCACAACTATGAATAATGTGATCTTTTAATTATGCACAAACCAGTAACCAAAAGAGTTTTAAAGCCGTGATAAATTGCCAAGGGCTCGATCAGTTAAAAAGTAATTAATATTGATTTGAGAAAAAAATGCAACGAAGCCATTACCAGAGGGGTTAAGATTCCTCATCGAAATGGAGGACTTGAGGTTATAAATCCTGGTTTGAATATGCTTCTCAAACAAAGGGTCAATTCTCGCCACCAAATCCATAAGCACGATGTCAAAGATCGCCAGAACCTCAAGCGGGTACCTCACCATCTTTCCATACAGATCAGGATCATAATCAAACACATCGTGTGCATCTACATCCAGCGACTCTCCTCCATCCAGCTCCAAAACCCGGTGAACTGCTCGCATGTACTTCCCCTCCATCACTACACCCCCGTTACTTCCACCATCAGAAGCTCGCTGAGGGTCGCGGAAGTGGCGAAGAAAACGTAGGATTGCGGCGTTAACGTCCTGCACACTTATGTTCGTCCCCCACACAAAGACTGGAGTTGAATCGGCGTCTTCCCCATCAATGGCAGCGTCAGCATCATCTCCGGCGTCCGAGGAAAGACCCATGGCATCGGAAGAGGAGATAGGAGTTGCAGGAGTAGAGGGAGTGGCTTGGCGGCGTTGGTGCCGAGAAGAAGAAAGAGGGGTACGGTAAGCTCCTTGGGAGGAAGAGATAATAGGGCTGCCGGCGACGGGGTAACGACGGCCTGATCGACCGGGTTGCCGTTGGCCACCATTGGAGGAGGGTATAGGGGAGGAGTTGGTGTTGGCAATGGGACTTGATGTGCCATCAGGAGACGATGCACCTGGTAAGAGGAAACAAAATCATCAAAAAAAAAAAATAGAAATCAAGACTTTCGAAAGAGGAAAAAGAAAAGAAATAAGTTCGTGGCACCGTAAGGAGAGGAGTCGGCCATGGCGTATAGGGTTTGTGGACAAATCGTGAGTGAATGGGAGGAAGGTAAAGAAGTGGAATTAGGCGGGAAGAAGGTACGCTTCCCGCGAAAATGGAGTGAGAACTTGGCTGCAATGCACGTTCAGATAAATATCACTTACCTGTTCTGGAGCTGATCGGACGGCTGTAAGGCAACAGGGGTTTTCGAAAAAATCTCCATAATAACATAAACTCTTATTTATTATAACATAATAGAAAATACATAATAAATAAATAAATTATTTGCACAGAATTTAGTGTTTTTACGTCTTATGTTTTTCCTTATAGTTGATTTAAATGAATAAATTATTGAATTTAATTATGGGCAATTATATTTGACTGCCACTGTTTTTTTTTTTTTTTATTCAGGTTAATTAAAATAAATTCATACAACATATCGCATATATAAGACCTCTAAAACCTCTTTATTAATTGTTAAATTTCTCAACCAATATATCAAAGTGAGACATGAATTATTTCTGTGATGAATGTCATAGTATCTAATAATCGAGAATTTTTTTAGCTCAAGATGATAAAAAATAATTTGACTTTGTCTTGGCAATAAAAATAATTATGGATATAAACGAGTTGAGTCGAATATCTGCCTACTCTAGTTAAATTTGTTTAGTTGTTACTATGCTTAAGCTCATTGTCTCGTTAAAAAGTGTATAGGCTTGAGCTCAGGTTGATTGTTCGAGCTCTTTTGGATAGCTCAAACTTGACTCCATTGCTAAGCTCAATTTCTTAATTTTAAATTTTGTTTGTATTTCTAATATAAAATTAATTTAAAAATATTAAAATATATTCTATGTCAAACTCTCTTTGTCCTTGGATCATCCCTTGACCTAAAAGGACACTGTGTAGTACTTAGGTAACCAGCATAGGTTGACTCACCCATGATTAATCTAAACCCAAAGTTAGATGGCTAAGGTACCCTCATGAATCAACTAAGTCAATTTGAACCTACCTGGCAAATGTGTCCATTTTAGTTAAACTTGATCAAACTATATATTAGCATATTGAGAAGTTAGGATCTATAATAGCTCATATTTTGACTCAATTAAATAATATTTTATGAGTCATTATAAGTCTAATTTAATATTTTCGGAGACATTTCCTAATTTGGGAAATTTTAATAAATATGAAAATTGAATAAATAATTTTCAAAACTTCATAATATCAGTGTATGACATGCATACTTGTTATAGTTAGTACATATATAATGAACAAGAGTATTTTTCTTTTTTAATGAATTTCACTAATTTTGACACATGCATTAATATGATACTGTGAGCTTAACATTGAACATAATATCATTTGTTTATTATGTTATATATGATGTGAAATGTGTATATATGAGAACGATTAAACATAAATGATTGACTGATTCATGTTAGTTAGAGATATTTTATCCTATACAGGAGGGTACGCCGATGGACTTTTTTTTTTAAATAAGATTTATGATGTAAAAGATATGGAAATGGAGACAATGAGATAATTTGATATGATATGATACGCCGATGGACAAAAGGTGAAAACTTCATGTATGAAAGCCACCTAACCTAAATGACTTGTGATATGACTGATCCCTAAAAACACGACTGATATGATTGAGACTAATTTCTGTAAAGTTGGCTTACAGGAATGGATGCATGAAAAACACCACAGATTGTTAGATGTCTTTTTTACTTACATTGCTAGCTTGTGTGTGTGTGTATATATATATATATATATATATATATATATATATGATAAATTATATAATTAATATTACATTATTTATATAAAAATATAGACTATGATTGATACAAATATTTAATAAGACTGATAAAATTTATACAAAATATATATGAATTACATGATTTACATGATATACATGAATAGCATATACAATGTACAACATATATATGATAATGACAAGGGTACTAATGTAAGAAGATGATATATAAACTTTTTTATAACTGATGGGCATAAGATTGACAGAACTTATTGATCACGATTCACTTAGTTATTCATTAATGCTCTTAAGATATATAATTGTACTGATATTTATTAATCAAATTACCTGTTATTATTTTATCGATTATTACATGCTTTTATAGTTTTATAATTATATATTTATATTGATAGTGATTGATGAGTACATGCATAATTTTCATATTGTCTTGCATTAATTTTAGTTGTAGGTTGTGATAAACTACTGAGTTGTTAGCTCACTATGTAATTTTACATGTTTTAAGGAAGGCGTCAGGATCCAGTATTTTTTTTAGGGATCAGATTCAGTAGAGTAAAAACAAATATGTGATTCAAGCTTTATTATTATTACTATTATTTTATATATATTATATCTTGGGTTATTACCTGATCATTATCTAAGTAAAAAAAATTAATCATATCCTAAGATATCCCTAGCTCCTTTATATCCAATCTAAGTCAACATAGCTTAACCAAGTTAAACTTATGCCTACATAATTAACCATAGTCAAGCTTGGTTAATATAATATAATGTTTGACCTAACATAACCTCTAACCCATATGATGACCCAATTAAAATATTAAAACTAATAGCGGGATATCAAAGCTAACTTATATTATACTCAATCAGCATAAAATCTATATTATCCATTGTGGGGGCTTGACCCATTAGATGATATATTAAGCACCTTATCAAATTATTGGCTTATATCACTCATTCTAACTATTATATACTCACTCATTGACTAGTATCTAATCAAAATCATGCCAATTAGGTATTCCCCTATGCTATAACTTTACTTCACATATTATACCATTGGACCCATTTTGACCTTATGTACTCATTTAGGTGAAATTAAATTGATTAAACCAAATTAGAACTTTAGGTAACATAAAATTGATCCTTAATAGCCATAACAAGTTCTAAATTGTTTGATCAGTGCATTGAGTCCACATAGACCTAAAATAAACCCTTGTAACCTATTTTAACCCAACTAAGTGCAATTAGATTTATTAGCCCAAATTAATAATTAAATCATGGTCTTAATTAGCTATAGGAACTTATATTAAAGCTTAATCACTTTAAGTGAGCCCAAATTAACCTATATTGACTAATTTAGTAAGCACAATTTGATCTTAAGCCCTAAGTGAATTAGACCCCTAATATGTGAAGTGAACTCTGTCCAAGATTATTAAGTCACACTTAACTCGATTATTGTTAAAGCATACACAACTTGAGCTAATGCGGCTCTTGCTTAGCTTGGTCTCCAAATTGAGCCCCGTGATTAGTGTCCTCCACCGCTACTCCTAGACTTAAATTAATTTCTTATGTTCCACCTGATACCCCTTAACCACCCTAGATAGCTTAAGCTTGCTAAGCCAAGGCCACTTCAACATATATATATATATATATATCATTAACATCATCCTATGATAAATAGTTGTATCCTCGACAAGGCCCATTAAACTTATTGGCTTATCCACCCAACAAGCTTAAATAAGGATAACACGATATGATAGGTCTAAAAAATGAGTGTTGATAAGAGTGGGGCTCCTAATGGAACAGAGGTGTGCTATTGAGTTGGAGTGGGTTTGTGGTGATGGGGATAAACATCTTCATTGAAGATAGTCTGGTGTGATGTGCAGAGTTTGTTTAAAGAGGGTTCATGTAGTCATTTTAGGCTCGAGCATAACTAAGGGACGCTCGTATAAGAGACATTGGGTGAAGTGAGTTGATTTTGTAGGGACATAACAAAGGAAAGAATTGACATCCAAAAAGTAACGGAGGGGGATTTCTTGTGTAGTAGTTAACATGGGTATTCAAAGTTGGTACATCATAAAGGAAACTAATTGATAGGACATGCGATGATCATGAGGATGTCAACCAATAAGTAATGAGGTAAGTGAGCTTCAATTAAGATAGCACAAATCATTTTGATGAGGTGTGCATTTGGTATTGTTATTTTATTCTAGCTTACAGGAATTGGAGTATTAACGCTGTTGATTTGTGTAAAAAGAATTAGAAGTTAGAATTTAGGCATTCTCAGTTACTTTTTTGAATAGTGAATTTTTATTTTCTTAAGTCATATTAGTACTCAGACCATATTTTTAAATTGGTGACAATTGGATAGTGTCTCTGATTTGAGTTTTACAGGGTCACCAAATAATATGTGGAAAAATCATCAACAAAAAGCAAATATTATTTATAAACTTGATTAGAAATAGCATGGGAGGGATCCCATACATAGTGTGAATAAAAAGGTGAGGTTTTACATTACAGGAAATTCATAACAAAAGGGGGGCTCTATGGCTTCTTGCAGAATAGCATGAAAGATAAAAAAAGGTTTTAAAGAGTTTGATGTAGCTAGAAAATGATAGAATCGTTGTACTCAGATGGTTGGGGCATCGTTGGAAAAGGTTTGGTACTAAATTGGAGTGTTTGGCAAGGCGCAACAGTGACCCCCAAGTCAGAGTAGTTATAATGGATGGGATAGATACTAAGAGAAGTTGAATATGTAATAACCCAAAGTTATTAAAAAAGATTATTTTAAAATTTTTAAAATTTTGAACCTTAGAGTTGCAACATTGTGCTTTTAGGCGCAATACCCTTTAGGGGGTACCGTTGGGGTGCTAAAATTTGACGTAGCAGCGTTGAGCTCTCTTTCTATAGTAACTCAAGATTAAGCATGCTGCATTGCGACGTTAGGTCCATAGCATCGTGACATTGGGCACTGAATTATGTTTTTTAATATAAATTCATCCAGTCAACCTTTCCTCCTCTCTCTCCTTGTTTGGTTTGCTAGTGAAGGGAAGGAAGAAGGAGAAGAGAAGGGGAGGAGGGAAGAGAGAGAAGAGAGAGAAGGGCTTCTGGGATTTTCTCATCCATCGCTAATGTTACAAAATTTATTCTTATTATTATTGGTGACTTCTATCTTATATCTTTTTTTTTTTTTTTGTTAAGATTTTAATTTTGGGATTTATTCTCTTACCTAAATCAATATTTATTGCATTTTCTTCTAATCCAATGAAATTCAACCGCATAATTTTGATATATTATAATACTGATTGTTATGATAACTTTGACCGGATGATTTTGTGTTTTT